AACCCGGCTACCCACCTCGGCGGCCTGACGGCGCGTTCCCCGACGTGCGAGTACTAGTCTTATTTCACCGACGGCGTCACTGCGGGTACCCTTTGCTTTCACGTACTGGGCCTCGTCATCGCCCGTGGGTGCACCGACGCTGCGGCCTGGCAGTTGCCACGGTCCCCGCTGGTGAGGCCGGCCGCGCCAGCGCGCTCAGGTCGGAAGGCTTCCGCCTCTGGGTGCCCCCTCCTCCCTCTTCCGCGGCCGTCCCGTTTGTCTCTTCCTTCCTTTCCTGCGCGCTGAACGCAGCGCTGCGGGCCCATGTCCCCAGGCCCAAAAACATCGCCTTCTGGCGCACTTAACGGTTCAAAGTCTTCATCGGCCGTGGCGGTTGCGTCAGCGGCCGACTTTCCGGGGCCATCAAAACGAGTCCCAGGCGGACCGTTCCCCCGCAGCTTCCGACGAGCCTTCGTCGAAGCGGCAAGTGGGGTTGGAACAATAAGCCTGGCCACAGCCCTACACTCTTCGCGTATTACGGAAGTAATTGCAAATGACAGCAAAGATACACTACTGAAGCTCACGCGCCGCCCTTGCCCTCTCTCTTTCTTGTGCCGCTGGCCCTCTTTGGCCGGGTGCCATCGTCCGAACCCTCCGGCGCTGGCCTTGGCGGTCGCCTCGCCGCCTCTCTCTTGGACGCAGGCGCCGGCACCTCCCTCGTATGCCCCCGTTTCTCAGAACAGGAAAAAACACATAAACACAAAGGGTTTTATTGGTCCTACGCTGGAATGGGGCGTCGTTGAGAGGGTGCCTGGCACGGATGCGGGGATCGGGGTGGCGTCGGTGTTTGGAGCTGGCGGTTTGCGTGGCAAGCGCGTTTAGCTGGTCGCACTTGTTCGGAACAGGTGACGGGTGGAAAGGCCGCTCACCAGCAACTGGCAGTCCTCTGCCCGCGGGCCAGAACAAATCGTCGCGCGCACGCAACGGGTCGTGGGAAAGGGGGTTGGGAAGAGAGCGCGAGTTTCATTCCCAAGAAGTCTCTCCGATATGCAGCAAACAATTATTTTCCTATTCATCTGCCGCGCGGCCAACCGAACGAACGAACAACTGTCTCGGCGCGCAGCGTTAGCTTCGCTTGCGCGCATCATGGCTTCCTTCCGTTGCTTCCTTCGCTTCTTGCTCGCCCTCCTCTTCGTTTTCCTCTTCCCCTGCTTTGTCTTGTCCCGCCCCCCCTTCTCTTCCAGTTCGGAGCTGTCACCGCGCGCGAATAGCGTAACCCAAAGGGCGTTGCTGTAATTCCTTTGTGTGCCACGAAGTCTCTCGTAATTCCTTTGTGTACGGTCTGGTTACACTGCCAACGCGGGGGGCACACAAAGGGATTTCCTTTGTGTACGATCGTTTTCGCCGCTACCACAAGAACACGCGCGATTCCTTTGTGTAGAGCTTGTTTTCCCGCCTCGAGGAGCGCACGGGGCCTGGCGCTGCAATCACAAGGCCGCGGCGCTTGGCAGTGCGATGCAGCTGCGCCGGATACCACGCCCAAAACGATCCTACGTGGAGTTCGGCTCTTCTGCCGAATTCGCGCTGGCAGCTGGCCAGCCACATCGCCGGCCCGGCATGCCCGCGCGCGCTAGTGCGTTCTGCTGCCGCGACGCGTGCTGCTGTCAACGGATGAACAAACTGACGTTGCACGGTGGTTTGGTTGTGCCAAACCACCATGGGATGTTTGTTGGTAGCGGATATTAGGATCTTGTCGCCGCCGACAGCCTTGCCACGCCATACATGTCAATTGCATCCTAGAGCACGGCCGTACATCAACCCTGGTTCGGATCGGTGGGGATCCTGTGGCATGTGTGCACGTGCATTGCACCGTTGGTGGTGCCAAAACCCTTTGTGTGAATTTCCTTTGTGTGTATTTCTTGGCTCCTAGTTTCCCCGGTCACGGAGTGCGGAGTGCGGAACCCAGAAGGCGGTGGCGCAGTGCGTTGGCGTCGGCACCTCCATCAATGGCGCCCGCTGCGGCGGCGCCGGCGCCGCCCCATCCTGGGATGCACTGACCTGCTGGCGCATGCGGTCCGGGCGAGGCCAGTGGCGTTGGGGGGCCCCTCACCGCCGTGCTTCCAATCTTCGGGTTCTGCACGGCGTTGTGGACGATGATCAAATGGAGGGGAAACATGTTGCCATATAATTTCCAGAGGGCTAAAACATGTAGAAGCATGTTTCAAACATCTTTAGAACATCTTTGCCAACATCCTAAACACAGCTTGAACTCAATGGTCGGATTGCTAGGGTGTCCATTGTCATGGCGTCCACTATCACGACGAACATCATCTGCATCATCATGTCGGCCGAGGTGGCCTGCTGGCCCGTGTGGAATTCGATCGTCTCCTGGATCTGCGCCGAGCTGTCCGCGGCGCTGGGTCCCCCGCCCTTGCTGGCTGGCGGCCGTGCGCCCTCCCGACGGCCCCCTGTGTCATGCCCTCGTCTATCGAGGGGCCATCCTCGTCCTCGTCCTCCTCCTCCTTCTTCTTCCTCGCGGTCCAGCTCGACGAGGTTTCGCTCGCACTCGCGCAGCTGGGCCAACGTGGTCCCCTCGATCGCCAGCTCCTCCTGCAGGTCCGCCACCTGCTGGACGAGTTTCCTTTTCTTATTCTCCTTATTATTCTTATTTCTCGCCACTGTCCCGATCTCGGCACGTATCGCCTTGAGCGGGTGGTCGTAGTCCTTCATCGGAGATATCGGGTATTTCGCAGCGCGCCGATCTGCTCGATGATGTCACCGTCCAATCTGCCGAGTTTCTGATGAATTGCCATCAGTTTGCCGTAGTCTTTGATCTTCGCGTGCAGCTTCTTGCGGTGCTCTGCCTAGTTGGCCTCGTCGTCTGGCGGCTGGAGCTCCTGAAAGGCTGGATGCTTCCTGGCCTGAAATGCCGTCGTTGGTGGGACCTTGGCGAGCGCCTGCCCGACATTCTGGCATGACTTGCTGTGGCGCCGCTGCTGGTCGCGGCCCCGGCTGACGCTCCGCGGCCGTTGCCAGTGTGACCCGCACTGCTGACAATAGGCGGACCAGCCAGGATTTTGCCGAGAGCTCTTCGGCACGACCATGTCTTCACAATGAGGCCCTCAGGCAACGGCAACACGGATCTGCGCGAAGCCATGGCATCGGCGTCACCCCAACATACTAATCTTATGTGTGCGTCGCCACCCAGGGGCGACGCGCGCACCGAGACATCTTATAGTTTATGCGTCGTGGCGGGCGCTTTCTGGCCACACCGCTCTGAAAACGAGATACTACACGATGGGTACACTACATGTTCGGGTCGGACGCGCGCCTCTAAGGAGGACATACAGTACTAGTATACCTACATGCGTCCCATGGCAGGCGCGCGCGCGAGTGATGGGATCTCTGGTGGAAGGGCCGCCCGCCGCCCTCGAGCGGCTTGAGCCAACCTCTGGCGGAAGGCGCCCAGATCTCCTCCTCCTTCTCATCCTCCTCCTCCTCCCTCTCAACCTGCTTCTCCTTCTCCTCCTTCTCCTCCTTCCTCTCAACTTCCTCTTCTCCCTCCTCTCCTCCTTCTCCTCCTCCTCCCCCTCCTCCTCCTCCTCCTACTCTTTCTCCTCTCTGCTGCTGCTGTTGCTGCTGCAGCTGTTGCTGCTGCTGCTCCTCTTCGTTATCATCCCCGCTTGCTGTACCCTTCTCTCCCCTCTCCTCCCTTCTCCCCCCTCGCTGCCCCCTTCCCCTCCCGCTCCTCTCCCTTCTTGAAACCTTCGACAGAAGCGTCCGAACACATGCAAGCGCCCAAGACAGTTGAGCATGTCAGAGCCCGCTCACAAAAAGTCACAAAAACGAGATGAACATCTCCGAATCCATTCTACTGCCTCTTTCCTCCGTCGAGTGGGAATGCGAGCAACCAGCGCGGCTCCGGGACCCGCTGATTTGTCCCCTCGGAGCGATCCGAGGCGTCTGGGCGCCTGAGCTTCCTCCGCCCCTCTTCTCAGACCCCTTCGTCAGGCCGATCTCGGCCTCTTCACTCCTCCCAAGATTCGTTGGCTGACGCCGCACCGCCGACCCCTTGGGGCGGCAGTAAGAGTGAAAAACGGAATTTGCGGATCGCGCGCGATTTCTGGGGAATCTTGGGGTTTCAGCTTCTTTGGATTTCGTCGGGGGCGGTTTGCGGATCGCGGCTTTGTTCTTGGGCTTCTCTGGGCTCTCCTGTCAGCACCTTTGAGGCCTCCTGTGAGCCGTGGTGAGGCCTCTACGGGCCTCTTCTTGGGCGCCTCGTGGCGCCTCCTCAGGTTTTTGTCGGGCCCAGTGCTCGTGTCCATTCGGATTCCCCCTCTGGGCCTTCTTGTCGGGCCGTCCTGGGGCCTTCCTGGGCCGTTTCGTCTTGGGGCACTGTTGGGCCGTCTTGGAGCCCTCTCGGGGGCCTCTTGGGCTATGTAAGGCTTCTTGGGCCGTTGTGGGCCTCGTGAAAGCCCAAGAGGCGAACATGCTAAATATATACGGTTTTACCTGGGGAATTGGACGATTTTTGCTTCTGCAGGGCCTCGTGGGACGTCTCTTGGTGGCTTCTTGGGGCGTCTTGGGGGCCTCTGGGGCCGTCTGGAGGCAAATCTTGGGTGTCTTGGAGCGATCTTTCGGCGACTCGAGGCCGGACCGTCCGGGGAGCCTTTTCGGGCCCTTTTGGCTCGTTTTGGGGCTCCCTGAGGCTCCAAGCGTGCGGTCGGCGCTTTTGCCCCCCCCTCCCCCCCCTCCCCTCCAAACCGGCCGGACCGCGGGCTCCCGGGGAAGAGGTTTGGGGAGGGGGAAGCATCTCACACGCCGTGACCCCAAGGGGTCGGCGAATTTGGGGTGGCTGGTGGCGTAAGAAGTGGTATTCGCGCCACCCATGCCCACCCCTCGAGAACACGAGCGCAGCCGGGCGCCCATGACGGCGTTCGATCGAACCTCCCTCCTCGTCCTCCCTCCCGGTCTCCTCCTCACTCCTTGCCACGGCCGCGCCGCGTCCCGCCTTGTCCGAGGGGCTCCTCAAGTTCTACAAGGCGAAGGAGGGCTACCTGCAGGGGCAGATCGGGAACCCCGAGGCGGGGCGGGGCGGGTGGGTGGGTCGGGGGGGCTGGAACGGAGGGAGGGGGAGGACGAAGGATGGAGGGGGCGGAACTTCCTCCCTCTCCTCCCTCCTTTGCCCTCCCTCCCTCATTCTCCCTCTTTCATCCTCCTCTCCCCCTCCCCCTCCCTCCCCCTTCCCTCCGAGGGAGGAGGAGGAGGTGAGGAAAGGACCAGGAGCGAGTGCGCGAGCTTGCGTGGGTGGGCTCAGTCGGGGCGGGCCGGGGCGGCGGCGCGGCGGCGGTGCCTGAGAGGCCTGAAGGTATTGGTTATCAAGCTGAGTAACGAGCTCTGGTGGTAGCTCATGGAGCTTCCCGCTCTCCGTCTGGTGGCGGCATCTGGCCGCCCTATAGTTCATGCAAGTGGTGGAGGAGGCAGAGGGGGAGGCACAGGAGGAGGATGAGGAGGAGGCGGAGGAGGAGGAGGAGGAGGAGGAGGAGGAGGATGAGGATGAGGATGATGATGATGATGATGATGATGATGATGATGATGATGAGGAGGAGGAGGAGGAGGAGGAGGAGGAGGAGGAGGAAGGGGAGGAGGCCGATGACGATGGTGACGATGACAATAACGTTGGCGGTCATCTAGCTCGTGATGATAATGATGATTGTGTGATGTTTGTGACGTTGACGGCTTTGATGATCCACGGGCTTCCGCCACATCCGCCGACATTGTTTTTTTGGCAACGAGCTCCTGGGAACGCAGTGCGGAGGGGAAGGCCGAATGGGAAGGGTCGGCAGGCGTAAGCCAAATCGTGAGAACGAAAGGTGTGTTGTTCATCTTTGCAACATCTTGGGCATTTGGAGACGATGCGAGGATGTTTCAGACGTGGCGCAGAGGTCACGTGTATCGGAGGTGAGGGGGTGAGATCGAAGTGGAACGGAGAGCCCCCCTACCGGGAAATCGATTTCGGTTTCGTGTTCGTGCGTGCCGTGCGTGCGGGCGAGGCGAAGCTGCGTGGGCGGGCGAGAGAAAGTCTCCTGTGGCTGAGGCGCGGCCGGACCAAATGATTCTCCACCGGGCGGCCGGTGACGCGCGGTGTCCCGCCGGTGTCCCGCGAAAGTCCCGTGTGGCTGAGGCGCGGCCGGACCAAATGATTTCCTTCCGGGCGGCCCGTGGCCCGCGGTGTCCCGCCGGTGTCCCGCGGTGTCCCGCGGTGTCCCGCGGTGTCCCGCGGTGCCCCGCGGTGTCCCGGTGTCCCGCGGTGTCCCGCGATGATGATGATGATGATGATGATGATGATGATGATGATGATGATGATGAGATGATGATGATGATGATGATGGATGATGATGATGATGATTGATGCTGATGCTGATGCTGCTGATGATGATGATGACGATGATGATGATGATGATGATGATGATGATGATGATGATGATGGTGATGGTGATGATGAAGATGATATGAGGACGATGATGATGACATGATGATGATGGTGTCCCGATGATGATGATGATGATGATGATGATGATGATGATGATGATGATGATGATGTCGATGATGATGATGACGATGATGATGATGATGATGATGATGCTGATGGTGTCCGATGATGAGAATGATGATGGTCATGATGATGTTGATGATCATGATGATGACGATGATGGTGTCCCGATGATGATGAGTATGATGATGTTGATGTTGATGATGCTGATTATGATTGTGTCCCGATGATGATGATGTTGATGACGATGAGGTTGATGATGAGTATGGCGCCCCGATGATGATGATTATTCTGATGGTGATGATGATGATGTTGATGATGATGGCGTCCCGATGGTGATGATGATGATGCTGATGCTGATGTTGGTAATGATGATGATGGTGCCCCGATGGTGACGATGATGATGATGCTGATGATGATGTTGATGATGCTGATGCTGACGATGTCGATGATGAGGATGAGATGATGATGATGGTGTCCCGATGATGCTGATGATGATGATGATGATCATGATGATGATGATGATGATGATGATGATGGTGATGATGATGATGATGATGATGATGATAACGATGGTGATTATGATGGTGTCCCGATGATGATGCTGCTGATGATGATGATGACGATGACTGTGTCCCGATGCTGCTGATGATGATGATGATGATGATTGTGATGATGGCGATGATGATGATGGTGGTGTCCCGATGATGTTGATGACCGTGATGATGATGATGGTAGTGTTGATGATGAGGACGGTGTCCCGATTATGATGATGTTGGTGATGATGATGTTGATGTTGATGTTGTTGTTGATGATGATGATGACGTTGATTGTGAGAGCAGTTGTGATATCGATAGTGAGATCGATAGTGAGACCGAATGTGATATCGATTGTGAGATCGATTGTGAGATCGATAGTCAGATCAATTGTGATATAGATCGAGTGAGATCGATTGTGAGATCGATCGAGGGAGATCGATCGAGCGAGACCGACACTGATATCGATAGTGATATCGATAGTGAGACCGATCGAGTGAAACGTTGGTCCCCCCCCCCCGAACCTCCTTATCACCCGAAGGGTGGTCGTATAGGTATTCGTTGGGTTCATTGAAGGGCTCTCGGATATCTTTGAGGCAGATTCGTTGGGCTTCAGGGGCGGAGAGACAAACGGTGGAAACTCCATGAGAGGCAACACGTTAGCGCGTTTCGCCGACGTGCCATGAGAGGGTTGTATCGGTTGCGCCTTAGGCAACCCAGGGCTTCATCGGGTGCGCTATAAACAACCCAAAAGGTCACCCCCATTAGCCTTAAGGTGGGCCCCCAGGAGGGGTGTAATGTGAGGGGGTGCTCTGGGCCTATTTCGGGTGACTGGAATTACCCACCAATGAGACGTGCAGCAGAGCCTTTCCTTGGAAGACTACGCTGTCGCCTTTGCCGAACTCCTCCGAAATACAGCGAGCGGAAACAACCACAAGTTTTTTCCGTACGCGTCCTCTGAACCGCTGTGCCGCCGCGTGATACAGGCGGGAACGGGTTCGCTGAACTCTCCTGGTAAAAGAAGAAGGCCTTTGCAGTTTTCTTCCAGCACGCGCCGCGAGGATCCAGGGGCGACCCCGCAAGTTCCTGATCCGACGAGGGGGGCATGCCCGCGAATTATCGACGCTACGTTGCCGCTTTTCGGCTGTGTCAGACCAACAGAAACCTCGGCGCGGAGTCGTTTAGACGATGCTCAAAGGTACGATCTATCGCGCTGGCGCGCGGACAGCCGCCAACGATGTTGTGACATTTGATAGGGATATCTGTCGCGGCCTGGTCTTTGCCGGAAAAACCCGCGGAAGTTCCCGCGTGAATCGCTGCCAGCGTCGCTTCCCGCCACTGCCGTAGTCATGGCTGGATCCGTGGCGAAACAGGCGACGCTGCAGCGCGGCCCCGAAAACGGGCGCACGTGTCGTTTGTGAGGTGGGGGAAACAGGGGATTGCAGTCTGCAAACACATCGTGGGTCACGCTCGCAGCGGTTGCTCTCTCGGAAGCGCGCGGTCCAGGTTCCGAGGAGACGGGGTGGTGAGAGTATGTGTTGCCGCGGCGCCGAAGTGGCAGCGGGCCGCGTAGCGGGCGCAGGGTCGGCGGACGCGCCCAGTCGCGGAGGGGCGGGACAGGGTGTTCGCAGGTGGCAGACAGGCTGCGCGGAGGCGCGTGGCGTGGTGTCGAAGTGGGCGTTTGGTTGCGCGCGGGGGCACCAGTGGGGGCAGCGACGCCTCGACGTAGACGGCCGACATCGTTCGCCTCGACGCAGTCCGCGCCATCATCTTCGCGGCGCTCGGGCATGCCTCGGGTCCGCGCGGTTTGCGCCTGCTCGCTGCGTGGGTCTCTAGCCGCGCAGCGCGCCGCGCGGGGCTAGGAGCGCTCGGTTTATGCGCGGCGTTCGCCGGGCATCGGTGTGAACCTGAAGTCGCGTCGGCAGCGAGGGCGCGGCGACGACTGGGGCTGGGGCGTCGCAGTGTGCGCGGGATGCGCCGGTGAGAGCCTCGAGACAGTTGGCCGCGGGATGCTGCTCGCGGCTGTCGCGTGGACGGCGCGCGCGCGCCTCGCGGAAGTCGGTGACGACCCTGGCGTCGGACGTGTCTGCCGTGGGGCTTCGGGGAAGCGTGCGTTCTCTGGTCGCAGTGGCGCGTCTTGTTGTGTCCGCGCTGGGAAGGCCCGCGATACTTCGCGTCGGAATTCCCGAACCGTGCGTATTCTGGAGACGGGGGGGGCGGATTCAGCGGCGTCGAGGCAGAACGCGGAGGCAGTCCAGCGGTGGCTCGGCCGGCGGGGGTTCTCTCGAATTTGCTGGAGGATGGGGCGCGTGTCAGGTTGCGTCTGGGGGGCAGTGGCGGTCGACGTCTCGGCCCCATCGCGCGGCTGGCCGCGGGGCGCGGCGTTCCGGTCGCGCGCGGAGGGTGCGCTTTAAGCGAGTTGAGAGGGGGCCCCGCGCGCCCCGCGGCGACGGCTCGCTGCCGGCGGCAGCGCCGGGGGCGGCCGGGGTCAGGCGGGGGCCGGCGGAGCGACGGCGCCGACAGAGCGTGGGCCATATAGCTGGACTTCTTCGCGTTGATGGGCAGCCCCCTCGAGAGGTATGCTCTTGCCAGATGCGACCACGTCGTAGCTATTATACTGTCAAGCTTGTCGCCATCTTCGGTCGTTGCAGCTGCCTCTACGTGGTCGACGCATGGCGTCGAGGTTATCACCTTCGGCTCGCCATCTTGCTGCATAAGGCGGTCGCTGCTCGGGATATCGACGTAGACCTCGCCGAGGCAGGCTTCATGGTGGTAGTCTTTGGTGACCTCTGACATGGGCGCGTTGAAGGTAAAGTCGGCGGTTGGAACGCCTGGTCTTGATCCCAGTCGTGGCCTTGCGAAGCTTGCCTCCGTGTTGATGTAGAACCAGGTGCCTCTGTGGGCTTCGGCCGGCATCGTCGCGATGTGCTCGTTGTTGACGTGGCGCTCGATGATGCTTCCGTTGCGCATGAGCTCTCGGATAGCTGGATGCAGC